GGCATCTATAAGAAACTGCTTTATGAATCACAGTTTGAACAACAGCAAAAGTAGACCATGTCCCTCACAAATCTGGTTTTTCCCCAAAGCTGACAATAATTCGGCACTATTTATTTATTTACTCGAAGTAGAACTATGAGGAAGCCTAACTAATTATGTACTCGTCATACGCTAAATTACCCGCTTATACGCATAGAAAAACAAGAAGATTAGCACTAATATATACGTAGTCACAGACTGAAATTAGATAGTTTTTCTCCTACGGTTTTTCACGAACAGATAAAACAATCCATCAAATCGATATAATTTCTACAATGATTGGGTTGATGAATATCCTCACAGGGCCTACATTGGCATTCGCCAGATACAAACGAAAATAATGCACTTAAAGACAACAAACATTCTCTGCTAACAACTTCCTAAAAATGATGCTAGAGAAGTAAGATATTCCTAATCATGTGTCCAAAGACATTCGAGATATAATGAAAAGAATAATAAAAAAAAAACAAGTAAATTGTACTGATTCAAAGGCAACAAAAAGGAGTTACTAATTCGGCTTCTCTTCTACGGACATCTTCCTCGATGACAACTCTTCTGCTGCCAACTCGTCTTTCTTCCGTTTTTCTTTACGCTCGGCTCTCACGCGACGACGGTGGTTACTATCCTGAACTGCGCGCAGCCATCTGAAACCAAAAAAAACTGTGATATACCACAGCTAGCTACAACTGCATTTCGCCAAAAAAAAAAATTCCATTCGTCAAATTGCAAGCCAGACACATGTTGACTGAGTTTCACATTAAGGAAGAAAAATTCCAGTGATAATATTTTCCTTCGCAAATTGTCTGCAGAAAAACTGCCCCAAAAACGTTGCGCCAGAAATGGAAAGAAACGACATGAATATAATCCCATCTGTCACTAACTATAACAGATGTCAAAGAATTTTTTTCGCGTTTTCTGGCCTGGCCAAAATCAATCAAGCACGCAAGAATAGCGAAAACAACCTGTATTCCTCCCGAATCTCATTTGGATTCCTACCAGCCATATCCTCAACCTTCCTCCTCCATGCCTCATCAACATCTCCTTTGAGTTTTCTGGCAAGTTCTTGCATCTAAA